AAAAAAAAAAAAAAAAAAAAAAAAAAAAAAAAAAAAAAAAAAAAAAAAAAAAAAAAAAAGAAGGAACTTTTTTCTTTGATAATAAACATACAAAAGTAAGAATTTTGAATGTTTTCTTTGTCGGGGCGACTGGTTTGGGTACCTTTGCGAAGGTTAAAACCCGATTGGGTATTACATCACGAACAGCTCATACTGCCCGTAAGCAAGTTAACCAGAGAACAACAATCTCAGGCAAGAAATTTCACGGTCTATGTGATTAATCCATCGACTATCCAACAACCCGATTCCTTTGGCATTTCTCAGTGAATTCAAGGGTCCTCGGAGGAAGGCCTCAATTCAATTCCTTTCCCCATTCCCCCAATTGAAGCCCAACTCGGAAACGGTACACAATCATTTCTCTTAGATTTTCGTTTCTCTCTTCAACCATTACAGACCCTCCTTAATTCTCATACACTCTCCTAATTTTTATATTACATGCTTTCCCTTTCGGTTTTTGTCAGGACCCATTTGTTCTTTTTTTTCTCTTTCGTTCAGATACTTGTTTCTCGTCGATCCAGATTGGTTCAGGCTGGAATTTGATTGTTACTGGGGTCGTCAGTTTAGGTTAATCGCGACCCACTTGTAGATCTTTGTATACTGTCGCCGTGGTTGTTCATAGTGTCTTCTTGTTTTATTCTCTTCTCGTTTCTGTTATTTGGGGAAATCTTGTACCAGGAGTAATGAGTAATGCAAGCAGTGTAGTTGTTCACTCGTGAATTTTCGTATACTTTTGGAAGATCACTTGGGTTTCTGGAATCAATTTGTTTTTCCTTCTTCTTCATGCTACTTTTCAGTGTTGGTAAAGCAGCGGAAAGGGTTATATATATTTTTCTGAATCTCCTTTAATTGGCATGTAATGCAGGTTTCAGTACATCGTTTAGTGCTGATTATATTCAGTACAAGTGTCCAAGTGGGCGAAAACACTGGAATTATTAGGTTGCCTGCTCCGCCTTGATCTTGATTGTTGGTTGAAATCTTGGAAATTTTGTGAGGTAAGTGGATAGTGATGACTGAAGATTAGGGGGAATGGTCCTGGGATTGATGCAACAAAATGAGCCGATCCCCTTCATTTTCTGTGAAGTCAGAAGTTAATGTGAAGTTGGATCCAGAATCTCTCCAAAAATGGGTTGTGGCCTTTTGCATTATTAGGTTTGATCTTGAACAGGGTCAACTCATTGAGGAGTGCTACCCTCCAGGCGTTCTTACACAAGATGAGGAACTTGAAGTTGCATTTAGTTCATTTCCCGATTCGATTTCGCAGCATCAGAACCGGTCAAGTATACATGATTGTATATTCTTTTTCCGGGTTCGAAGGAAGGAAATTTCTCAACCAAGAAATGTTTCTTCTTCTGAGATAACTGAAATGGATGACTCGAAACTTCCAAGATCGAAAAGCAGCCTTGCTAACAAGTCCAAGTTCATGTATGGTTTTGTTTTTAATAGGCAGAGACATGATGAGAGGCTAAGAAGAGGTGGAGAGCAGAAGTCTGTGGTTATTTTATCTCATAGTCCTTATTCTACTGTCTTCAAACCTCTGTTGCAAATCATGGGTCCATTATATTTCGACATCGGGAGTAGGGCTCTTGAGCATATTGCTGCTTGTGTTTCAATGTGGCCTGCTCCTATAACTGGTAAACAAATGGAGCTTCCTATTGGAAATGCTCTGCTTAAAGCACACTTGCCACCTGCTCATAGTTTGCCAATGGATGGCGAGACGTTTTCGAAAGAGTCTACATCCTCTATGGCTCCTTTTCTTCCTAATAATCAGTCTGTTCCGCAGGGTCTTTTCCACGATTCCGATCTCTTTGGTACATTCCGGGGTCTTCTTCTGCAGCTCTGGCTGTTGTGGGAGTTGCAACTTATTGGTGAACCCATCCTAATCATTGCACCGACGCCTCCCCAGTGTTGTGAAGCTGTTGCTGGTCTTGTTAGTTTGGTTGCTCCTCTTCTTTGTAGTGTTGATTTTAGACCTTATTTCACCATTCATGACCCTGAGTTTTCATACTTAAACACACTTCAAGAGGGAGCTACTTTCCCCCCTATGGTTTTGGGGGTGACAAACCTCTTCTTCCTTAAAGCCCTTCGTAGTATTCCTCATATTGTCTCAGTTGGAAACTCTACTGCGAATCGGCTTCCCCAGACATCCAGGTCCTCTTCTGGCAGTGTTTCTGGTACTCCTGAAGGGTTCGGATTTCGGCAGCTGTCCTTGAAAAAATTCTCTCCGACAAACTTACTAAATGCTGTGAAGTTGAGGAGAGATGGTCCTCTAAGCCTCATGACAGAACATAAGGAAGCCATCTGGAGCACTTATCCTGCAGCAATGAAGCCAGACACATCGATCTTGAATCGGCTTATTGACGCTGGCTTATCACCGAGGGTTGAGGAGTCCATGTCTGTTGTTAACAATGAGATTTTGCGTCGACACTTCCTGGAACTTACGACCAACTTTTTGGCTCCTTTTGGGCCATACTTTCGAACCACCACACCTTCAGAAGGATCTTCTCCATTTGATGAGCCTTCTCGCCCTCAATTTAGTGCTGATGAGTTTCTTGCCAATCTATCAACAAGAGGACCAGGAAAATTTCTGGCCAAGCGAATGAGATCTAACTGGCTGGACTTGTACAGGTAATGTGGCCATTCTATTGTATTCTTTTATTTCATAGGAAGGATTCATCACCTTTAGGAATAGTTTTTTTCGATTCTGTTATCAGCATATCAAATGACCTATCAAACTTTTCCTTTCAGGCGGTTTCTCAAAGGACCAAACTTTATGCCTTGGTTTGAAAGAAGGCGTGCGGTTGCCGAACAAGAACAGCATAGACTATGGAGGCAAGCAAGAATCAATGCCGATGTACCACGGCTTATATCTAAAATGCCCGAGTTGGAAGTTGTCGACTTATTTAACGCTATTGAAAGACATCTTCTAAGAGAAATGGAGGTATTTTTTCCCCAACAATGCCTGTCACTATTTTGATTCCAATAAATTCTCGATTCGTTTCCAATTACACCCTTTTTGTTAATTTGAAAGGTATTGAATGGTCTTGAAATGACTTAGTTTTTTGTTCCGATCCCTCTAAAAGATATTAGGAAACTACATGATGTTTTAGGTGCAACTTAAAAGAATATTTTGGGCTTGATGATCAGTTGAACAATTTGTAGGAATGCGTTTTAGCCTTATTGGGAACCACAATCACACATTTAGCATTTTGATTTGTTTAGTTACTCATGTTTTATTCCTTGTGCTACATTTTAGCTGATATTTGCTGGATTCTTACTGACGAAAGTACCATGGGGCGTATTTTATTCACGATATTGCATTTCTTGTTCTTGCTTTACCAAAATCATTTGTAGTGTTCTCTGTGGCACCAGATAAGTAATAAGTTTCTAAGCACTCTTGAGCTCCTTCAAAATTGTTGAGGTCTAGGCCTCAACGTCATGCAAAATAAAGATGATTCTGATTGAAATGAATGTTCGATGACATTGCAAGTGTCATGTTTTTTAGTATTTTAGGAGACCATTGATTCTTTTTATATGAGAAATTAGGAATTATGTGGATTAAAAGAAAAGGGGGAGGAAAACCAAGCCCAACCCATTCAAGAAGGGCTTACAATATCTACGAGCGGAGTGCCAGCAAGCAAGGACGTTGGGCCCCATAGAGGAGTGGATTGTGAGATCCCATATCGCTTGGAAAGGAGAACGAAACATCCTTATAAGGGTGTGAAAACCTCCCCCTAACAGACGCGTTTTAAAACTGTGAGGCTGACGGCGATATTTAACGTGTCAAAGCGGACAATATCTGTTAGCGGTGGGCTTGAGCCGTTGCATTTATGCTATATTTGTTGAAGGGAAACCATGATTTTGCTCCATGCGAGAGCCTGAAAAACAACCGATCCTTCTTCTTATGTGGCCTTTGGCCACGAGACAACCTTCACCTAACTAATCTTCCCGTCTGTCACTAAAAACAATATATGATGCATCCACACTGCAAGCTATGTTTTTTTGTTATAAGAGGTTGTGCAGCCATATATTGATGTTTGGAGCACCATCTTCAGCTGCAGGAATCCAGAAGGGCTTATGTAGACTCTGTGACAATTTGCCAGAAACTGAAAGGCGATCTGCTGACTGTTTTTAATGTGCTTCCTAAGGACATGCAACAGCTTTTGCTTCTTAATCCACAAAGAGCATCGCTTCTCCGAGGAAGTCCCGAAGTAACGAAACTTCCAGGGCGCCCGCTTGTACAAGTTGGTGTTATATCACCAAGATAGTACTGAATACGTGTTATGAGTCAAGTAGCCTCAGGCAAAGGAGCTTTCTTCTGATTTTTTAGAGACAGCACTCGCTGGTTTGTTCACTTCATCACTGGATGGGTAGATTTTCCCTGATTGTGACTGCTGCAACTGTTTTAATAGGTATCACTTTAGACCTCTCCTAATCTTTATATTTAAGATTCGTCCTAACAAAGTAGGATGATGATATGATAAACAGATGACCAAGGATGGTAGATTATGGCAGTGGTGCAACATTTTAGGCATCCAACTTGAGAATATCTGCAACGTTCTATGAACTTATGGATCATAAAAAAGTTCTTCCATTCCAGGACATGATAGTGTTCGCATTTTTTATTAGAATTTCTGATTTTGTACTGTCTTCATTACTTCAAAGGAAGCATAATGTCAACATGTAATATGTAACTTATATTTTTGTACTGAGTCAGATCCAAATTTTATTATGTAGATGTAAAGTTGAAGCAAATAATTTCGGTTCCAAAAATCTGAGGCTGTTGCAAGGGATGTTACCATCGTAGTATTTCTTTTAAGATGTTTTAAATGTCAATTGTTGGAAGGAATGATCAATTTGTAGCCTTTCCTTTTGAAAGTGCTATGATACATTGTTTTCAATTACCTGAAAAAATGGTCATTGATCATTCTCATTTATTTGTTTGTCAACTTGAGTATAGTTCAATAGATTTGAGTATATGAGTATAGTTCAATTAAAAAATCCATGATGAAAAATGACCTGAATAAATGATAACATAACTTTTTAAAATGTCGTGTATAAATATAATAGGTCGATGAACATAAAGAATTTTCTTGCTCTTGCCTTCATAAGGTTTTCCTTGGATTCTCTTCTTTTTGATGCTAGAGGGAAGACTCGGTGATTATGACTAGACAGGGCATGACTCCATGAACAAGAACTGGGGAAAAGGATGAAGGGTGTAAGAAAAGAGATACATTTTATGATCCTATATCACCTAATTTACATATTTTCTTGGATAAGACTAAATTGCATATTATTGAAACCATCATTTAAAACTTAACAGTCTTGCATGACCGAAGTAACACCAAAAATATTAAGCAGTTGGTAAATAAACACAAAATTATCGTTTCAGAACTCAATTAAATTACTCATCCAGTTCACATATTCTGCCATGGAAGCAAAGCCTTGGAGAAGCTAGTCACTAAAATCACACTTCAAAAGGGAAAAATGATGTAAAGCATTCTATTTGTAGGTATGATAAAAGGATAACATTTAGCAACTGCAAACCGGAGAACTGGGAACTTGATCCCCATCAACGCAATCTTCTAGCTTCCCTCTCTGACTCCAACAGGGTAAGAATGTCTCCTTCCCTCACTGGCCCCTTGACATTCCTCATAATGTAACGATTCTGATCATCAAGAAACTTGACTCTAACTTGAGTCACCTGCCCTCTTGATCCAGTTCTACCCATCACTTTGACCACCACAGCATGCTTGATCTGCGATTCCATTCCTAAACAAACACACGAAAAACAAATCTTAGAAAACCAATACCAAAGCGAATATTTTCCCTAATAATTACTCCTAAGCAGCAATTTCCAAGACAAACTACCAAAAATTACTGGTTATGCAGCTTCAAGTTCCCATTTTGAACAATCCAACGAGTCATTAAATGTAGGAACAAGTAAAACTGATGGCAAACAGAATTGCTTATGAATATCAGTCCAGAATGTTCTATAAAACTATAAAAGTAAAGTAAAAGAGCCCAACTTTAAGAAAGCACATGCGAGTTAAAATTCCAATCACTTCAATATTTAAACCAAGGCATCGAGGAAGATATCAGCATAGCATGGCAAGTTTTTCAACTCATAAACAATCTCCTGCAAGAATAAGAACTTCAACGCTAAACACCCCTAATTTGATCATTTCAATCACGACGGTCTTTATTAAATTAGTACTCGAAAATTTTATGCAGGGTATTCGACAAGCAACGACCGAGTGATTCTCAGCAGCAGATGAAAAACAGTAATGAATAAAGGCAAAAGAAACAGAAAAATACAAAGAACCAAAAATCTCGCAGAGAAGTCAAATAAGAACTGCCTTAAATGCTGCGGATCTGAACAGAGCAAAGAACCAAAGAGATCACCATGGATCGAAGAAGGAATTGGATAGATACCTTACACGAAAGAGGACGTGAGAATTGAAGACAAGCCGCCGGACTGCAGGATCGACCAAAGCAAATGGAGGGAAAAAATACCTAGCATTTGCATTACTAGGGTTTCTGATCGTGCGTGAAGACGAATATAGCCCCCAATGAATAGCTTATGTGGAAGGGTGTTTCAGTCATTTAGTTATTAAAACTAAAAGAGATCAGATTCTCTTTAGTCAATAATAATAAATAATAAATAATAAAAATAATTCATAGTTTATGATCAATCGGGTGTTACAGTATTTAATATTTAATTGTATTTAATATTTAATTTAATAACCAAATATTGTGAAACATTTAGAACGGTAAGTTTAATTTTTTTTTTTTTGATCGACTAATTGTCTTATTTGCTTTTAACTTGAAAGAGTGCGTGCATGGCACTCGCTAATTGCTCAACAAAATTAAAAATTAAGATACATTTTTTGCGTAAGAATATAAAAAATATAAACAAAATAAATAGTGAATTTGATTTGATGTTAATTTGAAAGAAAAAGAAAAAATAAATACATAAGGTGTATATCTCTAGATATTTATTGACAAATAGCTAAATAAAATAAACTTTTATTTTTTGATTGGGACTCTAATTTTGATAATGACAGTAATATCAGGGGAAAAAGTAGAGATATTTATTTAATAAAGATTTCAGGAAATTCAACAAAATTGTTAATGATGTGGGCATGCAAACAAAGTTTGCGTGGGATGAATGGAAGGTCGTAGGCATATAAGCCAAAACAATCAAATTTACGAGAGTTTATGTTCAAAGTAGACAATACCGTACCTTCGTAAAAATAGACGTGTCAATGATTAGATGTTACTAATAGAAACCAAATTTTCTACAATAATACGATGTTGTCCACTTTGAGCATAATCTCTTATAGCTTTACTTTTGGTCTCTCCAAAAGGCTTCGTACCAATGAGATGATTTTTAATAACTCAAACTAACTCCTAGTAAACATCGTTCTCTTTGAACTTTCCTTTTTGGACTTCTCCTCGAGGTTTTTAAAACTCATCAGGTAAGAAGAGGTTTTCATACCTATATAAATAATGTTCCGTTCTCCTCTTTAGCTGATGTGAGATTTCACATATTCTTTATAAAGATATGATCAATCCTTTAATTAGTCGATGGAAATGTCTTTCTCCTACCCATCCTCAACCATCCTTACCATCCATGAGTAAAGAGAGCTGTTTTAGCAAACTCTAGAAAAAAGTGAGTAGGAAGGAGACAAGTATAATAGGCAGACCAATTAGGCGTCGCTCAGTCCTCTCTTTCGGTGGGTAGCAGCGAGGTGGACGTGATCTTGTATATTTTTTGTGGTGCAGTTTAGGGTCAACAACTTGAAGTGGAAAACAGACCACGTATCCAGAGAGAGAGAGAGAGAGGGAGAGGCTTGTTTATTTACACACAAACTCTGGTAAACACCCAGCAATACCAAAGAAGCCGACACTCCCATTCACTTCAAATCCTTTTATGTTTTAAGAGGGTCGGACTGCAATAGAGTCTTGAATAAGGATATATCTGCTATGAAAAGAGGTTTTCACACTCTTATAAACAATGTTTCGTTTTCCTCTTCAATCAATATAGGATCTCACAATCTATCACTTCGAGTCTCGAGTCCGAGAGGGATCTCACATTTGTTTCCTTAGAAATTGCTCTGTCGAAGAATCATGAATATTATTAATATTCTGATGAGCCAAATAAACCTCAGTACAACACATGGAAGGGACTGAGCAAGTGCAACCTTTGACCCCTTCCCCCAAGCCTCCACTGATCATGACATCAGCCTTACACCTATTCAGATGGGGAGTGAGAAATTTTACTGTTCACCATGTTTTTCTTTTGTTGAAGATTCTCTGGAGCTGTGTTCCCCTAATTTCTCACTACCAACTCTATGATTGCTGATGTCTGGCCAAAAAGTCTTCTTTCTTTCTCTCTCTCTAGAGTTTCTGCAAATATGATTATTGATGGGGGGGGGGGATGAAGATGACAAAGAACATGTCACTTCAACTCCCCAAATAGTGGTCCTCTCTTAATTGAGAGTTTCACCACTCACCTCCTTCCCTTGCCCTACACCACATCCTTCACTCTTCTCTCTCCTCTATCCTTTGCCCTCCAAAAACCAGACTCTTCCCCCAGAAAACTGAACAATCCAGCATGCTTTAATCCATTACCATTTCCACTCCTGGGTTTACCAAACATCGCTGCACCATGTCAACTGGATCAGCTGCCTGGACCAAAGAAGAAGATAAAGCATTTGAAAATGCCATAGCTACGCATTGGGATGCTCCAGAATTGGAAGGGAAGGAGTCTGAAGAGATGTGGGAAAAGATTGCTTCAATGCTTCCAACCAAGAACATGGAAGACTTGAAACAACACTACCAAATGCTGGTTGAAGATGTCGGTGCCATTGAGGCCGGCCAAGTTCCCATTCCAAATTATGCTTCTGTTGGAGAAGAAACAACTAATGCTTCTACTAAGGACAAGGATCGTCATCTTCATCCTCATGGGGCCACTGGCTCTGATACTAATAAAAGACCCAATTCAGGTTTTGGAAGTGGGTTTTCTGGGCTCTCCCACGACTCGTCTTCCCATGCCACAAAGGGCGGATCCAGGTCCGAACAAGAAAGAAGGAAAGGGATCCCATGGACGGAGGAAGAACACAGGTTTGTGTATTTTCAACAACTTCGAATATTGGGTGATTTCCTTGAGAGCTATATAATTTATCAATTTAGATCCAAAAAGGAGAAAGGTGTATCCGGATATTTGTTCTTCTGGTCTGTGAGATCTGGACTAGCAATGGAATCATTCTCCCTCCTTTTTTCATACAGAGATTTCTTAAGCTGAACAGAATTGAGATAGATAGATTCTTAACTATTGCTATTTTCAGGTTATTTCTACTGGGTCTAGACAAGTTTGGGAAAGGGGATTGGAGAAGCATTTCAAGAAACTTTGTTATATCCAGGACACCGACACAAGTGGCAAGTCATGCACAGAAATATTTCATTCGATTGAACTCAATGAACAGAGATAGAAGAAGATCAAGCATTCATGACATTACCTCAGTTAATAACGGTGGTGGCGACGTCATGGCCCATCAAGCTCCGATCACCGGCCACCAGACGAACGGCATGAACCAGAATAATCCACCGGCTTTGGGGCCACCAGGGAAGCACCGCCCTCAGCAACATCTGCCCGGAATAGGGATGTACGGGGCACCAGTTGGGCATCCAGTAGCGACTCCTCCGGGGCACATGGCATCGGCAGTTGGCACTCCGGTGATGCTTCCTCATGGGATCCATCCCCATCCTCCTTATGTAATGCCAGTAGCTTATCCAATGGCTCCTCCACCAATGCACCAATGACAATTCTTTTTTCCATCTTTCCTTTCTGTAGTTAGATTTTTGTATTCATGGATCAAAATAAGAAAGTTGAGGCATAACAAAGAAGAACAAAGGGAAAGTTCACTACTTTTCAACTTTTACCTTCACTATGATCCATCCCCAACCATGTTGTGGAGAGAATACAACAGTATAGAGATTTGAGAAACGCCCTTTTTCAGCCTCTTAAGGATAAATATGAATATGGAATCCAATTTCATTTTCATCATGTATATGATAGTATAACTGCAATGAAATATGAGCACTAATCAAGAGCTCTAAGGATTCATTGATATTTTTTTTAATAAACATTTCACAATTTGACGCCCAGATGGACATTCATCGTCCAACAAATTCAAAGGTGGGGGGAATATATATACTCAGCAAGTTTACGAACGCCCAGCCACAAGAAAATACAGGGAATGGAAACAGTAACAAACTCAAACAACTTCAAAATTTGGACAAAGCCCACATGTCAAAAAAATAAAAATAAAAAAACCCAAAACTACCTACACGACCAAATATTTCTCAACTACATTTATATGATGACTCCATAAATTAACAATTTAAGACTTCGGCTGCCTGTAATTTCCAAACTTCCGAGAGACTGCAGCATCAGATAATGTATCCCACACCTGCAAGTAACAATAATTCATCAATAACATTTACAATCACTAAATAACGCAGAAACCACTTGAATGAAAATGAATATACACCCAACATTCATACTCACCTCCAATTTTCCTTTGGAGCCTCCAATAGCCATCAAAAAGGGGCAATCTTCTGAGAAGGAAAGCGAAAACACAGCTCCCTGCAACAATTAAGACGTAACAAAATGATTGTTATAAGTATCCAACATGCTGTGTTATATAGCTTAACCACGGCAATCGTGTTACTTACTGCTTTAGGATTCGTGGATGCCACACATGAAGGTTCATTATTGGACAAGTCCCATAATTTAACCTGCAAAATCAAAACAAATTCCTTTTTATATATTATCTCCACAGCATTTATAAGTAATATAAAGGGATTATGAATTACCATTTTGTCAGTAGATCCAGTTGCAAGTAGCTGGAGAAGGGTACAGACAGACAGAATTTAGTAATCAGTAAAGCCGGTAATACAAAGGAGAGGAGAGGAGGAAATTGAGCAAGAAAAAGAAGAAAAGAACAGGAAGTACATTAGGTGCCGCGGGATTGTACGCAACTGAGCACACAGCTTTCTCATGCGCGTGGAGAGTAAAACTTGCTTTTGATTCAGAACTAGTCTCTGTGGTGGCATTCCGGATGTCAAAACCTTTCACTGTACCATCCTCCAGACTCACCTACATAAAATTATACAAATCAACAAATGCCGCAGCTTATGTTATAAATCCTTCAAAAACCGAACTCACTGAATAAATTGTAGTACATGGAACAAACTAAAGAAATCCAAATGAATAATTGAATTGTAAAGCCAGAAAAAAGGATCATCAAAACCAGGTCTGTGCAAGAAGCATGAATACACACCACAAACATGTGCTCTGTATGTGGATCCCATGCCAAGCTCTCCACATCTGCTGTAACTAGCCACTTGTAACCTGAATGGGAAGGATTCCTCCCATCTTTCTGAATTACATACAAACAAAAAGCCAGAAATTTCAAGCTATGATGAGTATGAGTAATGAAGTTAAACATGAAGATTAACTTTTGCTAAAAAAGAGAGGTTATACAGCATCAGTGTAAAAAACTTAGTAGAAAACATATCGTATTACCAAAACTACTGAATGATCAAAAGATCCACTAAGGAGAACTTGTGACGAATGATAATTCCATGCGACAGCTTGGACCTGGAAAGTAAAATATAAACAACAAAACATTAAATCTGGCACCAATTTGAAAAGCCACAGATGTTAATTTATATAAGTAAACTCATATTGCTAGGCATCTTCACAAGATTCACAAGCTAAACGAACCTCATCATGAAACTCTACCCAGTTAACATTGACATAATTAAAGAATACAAGACAATAGAAAAGGATAAAATTTGTAAAATTTCAACTATTAGGGGGAATTACAACCAAAAAAAAAAAAAAGAACGCCGGCCTTTTGAGAGGCCTTACCTCTAATTTACTAAAGATTTGCTCATCTCACTCAACTGCATTCACTCCCACACTAATGGCATTTCAAACACTAATACAAAAGACCTTTCTACCCTCCAACTTTCCTAATAGGATTAATTTAAAAAGTAAAATAAAATACCAAAAAGGATAATTGACTAGAAGGAAAAAAAAAAGAGAGAACAATCTAATGGGCTACTCATCTTCGTTTTTTCTTTAAAAAAAACCACTTATCTTCAATGGGATAGAGAACAATCTAAAAAATCAATATAGACCGCTATTACAACTATATCAATTGACTTTTAGATTATTAGTGTATGAATAATAAAACTAAGATTCCTACCTTGTCTGTATGATGCTGCATAGTTATATTACATTTCTCAGTAGATACGTCCCAAATCTTGACTTGCTTATCGGCACTTGCACTAGCAAGTATATTCCTGCTTGTTATAGGGAAAATTAAGTGAATCATAATGCACTAAACCAACTTATTGAAATAACTAACAAAGATGAAATGATGTGAAACATACCTATATTCCTTGTTCCAAGCAAGTCCGAGTACTGAATCCGTGTGGCTGTTCTCTTTGTATGTAATTAATGTCTAACAAAACAAGATATGAAGTCGGTACAATTAGTAAAGGCTTACAAGAACAACTGAAAAACTTAAGCTTGAGTGACTATGAACTTGAAACAAGATTACACCGAACGGAAGTGGGTCAACAATTTCAGGAGAACTGATTGAAACGGGAGAATTAAAAGAGACTTAAACTAGAAAACAAGCAGCTTACTTTCTTTTCCTTCTTCTTATTCTTCTTCTTCTTCTTCTCAGCAATTCCACCTAACACAACACATGGTTGCACCTCGTCCCTCTAGAAAAACATATAAAATGAGAAATTAATGAAATAATTTGTTACAAAATGTAATATCAATAAAATAATATCCACATAAACATACAATGTCAAGGTCCCATATCTCAATCGCAGGTTCCATTGAACCAACTGCAATAAAGTTCCCTGGCACAATTGGATAGAGTAGTCAACAAAAAAGGCTGAATTATGTGTAAATTTAAGGTTGCTGTTGAGGGCAATAATCCAAAAATGCCCACTAAATGAATTTTGTGTGTAGAGTTAAGGTTTTCATTCAAGTTCTAAATTAACCCTCAACAAAAAAATATATAATCGATTTGGATTTTGTTCCCCAACCAAGCATATCTGAAGTACTCTTCAAAAACCCGGTTGTCTAAATTTTCAGATCAGGTGCTTTATATTTGATTTAGAACGAATTACCATTTGTTTCTCCATTCAGTAAACTACAAGCAGAATTAATGAAAACATAACACTGAAAATAATTAATGAAAACATAATACCTCTTTCTCCACCCTTCAGAGGACAGTCTAGCCAAGCAGTGCAAAGAGGAAATGCTGGAATAATTATCTCATGGTGAATATAGAAGTTTGGATCACCTGCATCATATCCTTCACATATACACACCTGCTTATAAATTAATCATTGGTAAATTTTCTTCCTATCGCTTATCGCCATCCTTCTCTAGAGGATTTGACTTGAAGACAAGAAGGGGGAAATAGATATTAGTTCTAGTCTACTACATGCCTGGAGAGCGCTGACGTCATCTTCATTACATGCACAAACTATGACCGCATCTGTTGGTTTGATAGTCTCATCCTCAAGATCTTCAGAGTCATCATCCTATAACAGTAAAAAAATAAATAAATCATGACACAGTGAAACCAAAACAGCCAAACATCAATGTTTAATAAACAACTTACATCCTTGTCCTTGAGATATGGGTCCATATCATTAGATTTGTAGTAAAGGTCTCCAGCCCCGGAGGTAAATAACTCAATTTCTGAAGCAAACCACAACAATATATAGCCTCAGTAATGCACCCAATGAAAGATAAATTACAATGGAGCAAAAAAAGGTCAAATTAGTTAAGACGTGTCATAGTCCAACTGCGATATTATAGATAGCATATAAGAAACATGTCCTCTCGTAGTAATTACAATATAAAATTAGCATAAACTAATAACATAAAATAGAAACAGGGAAAGCTAAGCCAAAGGGAGGGGAGGTGAGCATACCATCATCTTCATCATCATAATGGTCCATGTCAAGTTCCTTCAAACCTTCAGCGATATCGTCATATTTGGTTTCTGACATTGTGGTCTTAGAAGATTTTCCAAGTGCTTGTGCAACAGCTAGTGCATTGGCAATCTCTTCATCATTGGCGTCTTCAACATCCATATCTTCTTTATCTACCTCATCCTCGCTATGTTTGCTGCAAAAATCAAATCAAAGTTTTTACAATATGAAGACATACAATTGACAGATGCACAGAAAAGAACCACATTTGTAACCAAAACTTGTGCCCAAAATCATAATACAAATGCATAATGAATAGGAACTACCACAAAACACATTCCTCAATAACCCAACTAAGGTAAGTTATACCGTCCACGTCAGAATTCAGGAATAACGCACGTTGTCAATAACTCGAATATATACATGCCAGAACTGAAGGGCTCTAGAAATTCTCAGAAGACCAATTACTACCTGAAACTCCAATAGGACGTCTTCTTCTTCATCTCTTTCATTTTTATAATTATCATTATTGCATTTTCATCCAACTCAGTCTAATCCAAAAAGGCATAACGATGAAAACTAAAGCGTTCAAAAACAAAATTAAAACAGAAACTACTAATAACATGTTAAAAGTTAGTGATCAGTGAAAAGAGTATAGACGAAACAGAAGTTATTGATTCTACCTGGAATCTTCTTCCAAGACATCCTTGCTCTTGAGTAGTTCGTCAATAGTTTCCTTGGAAGGAGGGTCGGCCGCTACTGGAAGAGGCTTACAAACCCCTTTAGGAACCCACGAAACAGCCGATATCATCTTCTAATCTGCAGTGTTCTGAGCAACAATCTCTTCTACAAATAAAGGGTAGGATTTGTCGTGCAAGAAAATTTAGAGAAAGGAGTGTGGAGGGTAGGGCAGGAAGATTTGGAGAAAGGAGGGTGGCGCGATTAATATAAAGGGTAGGATTTGCTGTT